TCATGTTATCTCTATTAGACTCGATGTAATTCTTATAATTCTCACATCAATAAATGTGCTTTCACCCTAAATTCTGGGATAATCCGATATTCCTACTAAATTTTTCTACAAAATTCACTTGGATCATGCACTGGGATGATCAGAGCTCCCTATAGTGTCCCTTATCAGCAAAGCCTGTCTTCTTTATCCTCAGTTTTTTCCACACTTTCATCCCCTTCCGAGATATTAGTGGATTCTTGTTCTTCCATTCATTCTCCTGGCTTTGAGAACTGGTTACTACCATCCCTCTCCCCATTCTACCAGGCTTTCCCCAGCCAAGCTTTTTAATAAACTCTGCCCACTCTGTTGGTTAAGAATGATATGAGCTCTAGATTCAGACTGCCTGGGTCCATGGCTCCCCCACCTTCCAGATGTGGGTCCCTTAGCTTGTTGCTGAACCACTGTATGCTTCAGTATCCTCAGGTGGTACACAGCACTTGGTGCACCTTAGACATGAAAAGCCCTATGCCTGGCACATTATTAAGGACTCAAGAAACAGAAAATATTATCACTCCATGAGTCCCAATGTCCCTCTCTCTCACCTCTGTCATTGACAGCTGTGTTGTACTTAATATTGCCATCTTAGTCCTTCCACGAATTACAGCATTCTTAAAGTCTAGCCTTCTTTTTCCACTTTGAAAGTCTTTGGTAAGTCGAATTACAGCTATAAAATGTATTATATCCCAGGACTTAGGGATGACCCATCTGGGGCTAGAGTGGGAAAGGAGAAAGAATTAAGCCACCACTCAGAAGAAGTATCCATAGATATGCCTAATAGCCCTATGTCTATGTCCCAATGGAGAAAAACATTGTGTAACTCTCCAAACATGAGGAAACATGAAACATGTTTTTCATGAAACGAGGTTTTTAATTGTAAAATATAAGTCATTATCTTATTTGCTTTGCAAAAGATTGGGACTGGGGGGTTGGAGAGTTTGGTATGGTGGTTATATTTTGTTTTGATTTATTTTATTTTGAAATTAAGATAGAAACCAAGCAAAGATAATCTGTGAGCACCACCTTGTGGAAAAATCTACAACCACCATATTTGTTTGAACATTTATCAATCTTCATTCATTGAACACATATTCATATGCCGACACCGAGGATAGAGTTTTGTCTGTTTATTTAAAAGACAAAAATCTCTGGTTTCATGGAACTTTTGTTTATGGAAAGATTGAAAATAAACAAGATCATGAAACACATAACACATTCAATGTAGGTAAGTGCTCTTGAGGAAAAACAAAACAAGGACTGATGGGGACCATTTAAAATCAAATGATCCAAGAAGGCCTCTGAAAAGGTGATATTCAGGCCTAACTGAATAAAATGGTGCAGTTACCTAGGGCCAGAGCCATCTAGACAACATGAAACATGCAAATTCCTGAATGCAAAGGTGCACGGTGACTTTAAGGAGAGGCACTGAGGGCGATGTTCAAAGGCAAAATGAAGGAGATGAAGACTGAATTAAGCAGGAGACCAGCCCACATGGGGCTTCTCTGATTATAGTAAGGATCTGTCTGGCTTCTCTGATTCAGGTGGAAGTTTCAAGAGACTTTGAACAGAAGAGTAAGATGAGCCAACTTATTTTAAAGCAGTATTGCTTTGATTGAAGGGGTCAAAAGCAAAATAAGAGATTCAAGCAAGAGGGACTACTTCTGCACATACTCTATGAATTTATTAAAGTGCTTAGGGAAACCTTATTGGAGATCAGAACTTAATTCCATCATAGCACATCTACAGCCTTAAACATAAGCTCCGATAGTCACTTTCAGGTACCCTAGGAAACTTTTATCCATGCCTTTTGCCATGTGTGCATTAAATTTAAAAAAAAATAAGTGGTTTCTGCTAGATTCTGTTAAGATTAGTAGGATACACTGTATGGCCACTGATCAGGAGAATGGAAGAAATTGTGCAATGGGTGCATTATTTAGGAGAAATACAACTTGGAAAATGGAAAGCATAAATGCCACAGGTAATCAAGTATTGCATCTCAATTATGTTGAACAGTCATTTTCTTGCTTTTCTGTTGGTTATACTTCATTGTTCTTGACATACTCATGAGTTGCATAGCATTTGCAAAAGTTTCACATTTAATAGCTAAAGGATATTATTCAATATTAAACAATTTATGGTACTCAAATTTATATTTATGTAAGTCCAGACAGAAAATCCATGACGGATCTAGCTTTTAAAGTACTGTTTTAAGAGACGACGAAATGGCAATATAAGTTACCACTGGTTTATGTGATGAAATTTAATATTTTTACACTGTCTAAAATATATATCTTATATAACACCATCACAATACTTGAACATGATATATAAAATTTCAGGTTCATTCCCAAGCATTAATAGTTCAGATGAACAAATTTCTCTAAATTTAAATCATAACATTTTTTTCTGAAATTAAGCTTTAAAAATAATATCTATGAAATAAACAATAGTAATTCATGAATTAATAGCTTTTTCTTACTATTTATCCAATTGTAATCTGCCTATTAATCACACATGCACAATAGTAGTTCAACATCTTTGCTATTTTGTTTACTGTTATATTAAAAATATTTTTAATGTGTTCCATAAAAAGCACATATTTCAAAATAGGAGTATAGAACATATTTTAAACTACTGTTAGTTTGGTTTTTAAGTTTTAAATATTTAGATGTATAGTTTATGGATTCTGTTATGGTTTGGATGTGAGGTATCCCCCAAAAGCTCACTTGTGAGACAGTGCAAGAAGGTTCAGAGGAGAAATGATTAGTTTGTAAGAGTCTTAACCCAATCAGTGGATTAATCCCCTAATAGGGATTAACTGAGTGTAACTGAAATGGTAGGGTATAGCTAGAGGAGGTGGGAATTAGGGCATAGCTTTGGTGTATATATTTATATCTGGAGAGTGGAGTCTCTCTTTCTGCTTCCTGATCACCATAATGGGAGCTGTTTCCCTCTGCCACACTTTCCCACCACGATGTTCAGCCAGATCTGGAGCCCCAAGAAATGGAGCCAGTCTTCTGTGGACTAAGACCTCTGAAACCATGAGCCCCCAAATAAACTTTTCCTCCTTTAAAATTGTTCTGGTCAGCTCTTTTAGTCACAGTAGTGGAAAAAGCTAACTAAAACAATTCCTATTTGCATTTTGGTCCTCTTAAATGTTAGGGAGATCCAGTTAGGATATTCTTGCAATAATCTGGGTAATAAGTTATGTAGCTTGATCTGGGTTGTGGTCATGGAGATGTGAGAAGTCATCAAACTCTGTACATCTTGAAAGAAGCACTAAAAGGATTTTCTGACAAATCAGATTTAACTCAAAAGAGGAAAATTAAGTGACACAAGTTTTTGGCCTGAACAACTAGACAGAAGTCGTCATTATATGAGTTAAGGAAGAATGTGGGAGGAACACTTATGGGGATTTCAGAAGTTCAACTTTGTCGTGTTAAGCTCAAGATGTTAGTTTAACTCTTAGCAATCCATGCTGTTTAATACTCAGGGCTGGTAGTCCTTAGGGTAGGAATAGGAAAGTGATTGTATTCAAATCCTTGGGATGAGCAAGATCCACTCTTGGCCTTTTGCTTTCATCAATTAGGAGACATGGTATATTGAAGGAAGAAAACACTCTATTGTGACAGTTCTCTACCTTAATAGCAGAAAGTGTCAAAGAACCTGGAAGTCATCTCCCAAAACCATTCCCACAGGCTAGCAAGTTCCTTCCTTTGGATGCCCTGGGGAAAGCTCACAATTACCATCAATCCTGGGTACTAACCCTGAGGTCTTAACTTCTAACTTCCTGTAAAACATCCTCCACAAACATAGGTGAAAGACACTTGTCAGATATCACAAAACCTACACACGAATTATTGCTCCCTTAATGGTTCTCTGCCCGATTGCCTTTTATGTCAAATGCTTTGGTGTGATTTATTTCCTTCTGTCTTCCTAGGTGAGTTGGATGACCCAATGGTGGAAAAGATATAAAGAAAAAGATCAAACATAGAAGCAAACAAGGAAACAAACTAAGTTCCTAAATCTCTTCACTATCTAATCCTTAAATTAAAAAATAAAGAAAATTTCCAGTGTAAGCATGTCTTTTTTAATTACTTGCAAGTTAACTTATGTACTTTCTGACAGAAACAGGCACAGCCACTACTCAAGTCATATCATGACCTAAACAGAAAAGAACTGATAAAGGAAGAGAGAAATGTCAAGAGTGAACTTCACCTCAGTTTTATTTAAAAAAAAAAAAATTCTTGGATGAGAAACTAATGCACTATTTCCAAAATTAAACTCCTACAGAACATTGTCCCACAGGCTAGTACTTGATATGTTCTAAATACACAATGAACTTGGGATCACTGAATAAAACAAAGTTAATATGATTTCTTTTCTGTGGGAATGTCAGAGACTACACTAATGGGCTTTATAAATTTTTAGGAGGTAGATATAGAATACAGCACATTCAACATGTATTTGAAGCAAAACTTACTTTTTCAAGTGATTCATAATAGCAATGTCCAGAAATGGTGTTCCTCTGGACAGTTTGGGAAACACTGTTCTGATACACATATGGATGAGAATCCCAAAAGTGAATGTTTGCCAAAGTTGGCAGAGTAAGACCATAAAGTTTCCTATCACCCACTCCCTCATTTGACACCCCAAAATTTACAAATCTGCATATCTACCTTCACAGAACCAAATTCAGTTTGAATTCAATAAATTCACTTTTTTAAAAAATGAAGCTGCTGAATTATCCAATATTCACAGTTATTAAACATTCACATTGCAAATGAATTCCCAATCTCCCACCTGCTCCAGCAATGTTATCACTGAATAACTGGAATTAATTATTCTCGAGATGATAATAATGATGCCAAAGAGTTTATCCTAATTAAATGTTCCACCATGAAGAAAGAACTGAAATTTAGATCAGTAATGATTTAATTTTATTCTTTAATCTTTTAGGGACATTCAGTTCTTGTAAGCACAATAATTTGATGAAGGGTTGCATCATTTCTATGATTGAGCTATAACTTTTTATCAACGTTCTTTTTCCATTTTACCAAACACTCTTGTCCACATAATACAGGTTTTATGGAAAAACCCTTACACATGATAAATTTTAAACATATTTTAGATAATTTTGACACTCTTTCCATGCATTTCCACTGAATTAAACTAATGTGAGAATGAAACTGACATGAGAATTCCACCAAGAGAATCAGAAACTTCAAGAAAGACCTATCGTGATAGTTTGTCAGCTTTTAACACACAGTTACATGAGGTATAGAAATGTTTAGAAGAATATATTTATTAATTATAAATCTAATTCATATTTTCCATGAAGACATTAATCCTTTAAATAGTAATTTAGTGATTAATAAGTAATGTCATTATAATACTAAACAAAAAATGTCAGCTACAGAGTTACATATGTTCTCAATTGTTTTAAAGAAGATGCCTTAGAATAGAAATACTAATTGAATCTACACTATTATGTAATTTTTCTGTATTATTGTTTTAATCATGAAAAAAATAGAAGTTTTTTTTTTTTTTAAGTTTACTTCTACATGTCAATATTTATTCCACTAAATCCAACTACAGTGTCCAATACCCAAATTTATGGTGAAATTCCAGGAGTTTCCTCTGGGTACAAAAGGAACCCAGTAAAAATGCTGTCATCCTCAGCACTGGAATAAATCCCATTCCAATCTTTTGGCAATTCCAGCCACACTTGATCTCCTGCACTTAATTTCAGGATGATGAGGAGAGAGGCCTGGTCTATTTCCTGACCGTAGAGAGTGTCTCTGGACTTGAACTGCTTCTTATTCTGGGCCACTAGGCTGATCCGAGCGGGTCGACCCTTCACAGTGACATGGTAAGAAAAGACGTATGTCCCAGGGATGCTGCAGTTAAATTTCCCAGTGGCAGGGTTGTAATCCCCTTGGTCATTATATAAAATCTTGTCAAATTTGATGGGGATGTTGGGAGGAGGGAATGGCTTTGACAAAGCAGCGCTGAAGGCCGACTGCGGGAGTTTGGCGACCTCGCCCTTGGAGCCCTTGAAGCCCCGTGAGCCCTTCTTCCCAATAGGTCCTCGGACCCCTTTGTTCCCAAGCTCACCCTTTGGCCCAGCAGGTCCCAAAAGACCAGGAGGACCTAACTCCCCTTTTTCTCCTTTAAGTCCTGGATCACCTTTAGCTCCAGGCAGACCATCGGGGCCCCTTTTGCCTTCTGTCCCAGTGTCTCCTTTGCTACCTTTTTCTCCTTTTACCCCCTCCTCCCCTTTTTGCCCTTTTCCTCCCCTCTCCCCAGAATCTCCGCAGTAGCCTTTCTGTCCCATCTCCCCCTTCTCTCCTTTGGCTCCAGGCTCTCCGTTCAGTCCTGGAGAGCCCACGGCCCCCGGGTCTCCTTTATCTCCTTTGGTGCCATTTTCACATGGGTCTCCCTGTGAGCCTTTTTGTCCTTTAACTCCTGCCAAGCCAATGTTTCCTTTGTCCCCCTTAGGACCAAGTCCACCTGAAATGAGAAATTAAAATAACGTTTAAGGATCACAAAAGCCAAACAAGATGCCATTACCACAGACCTGGAAAAATAGGAATAAAATTTACTTCCTTGGACATGGAAACCCCTTCTTGCTTGACAGAGGCTGTGCCTAGCAGCCATAAATGCAATGAGCAATTTATAACATGTCATAATCCCAGAAAGAGAAAAGTTTGTGCTTCCAAGAAACAATAGCTTACATTCAGAATTCACATGTCTACTTCTTTTTTCCACCTTTAAGATAATAAAGAATATAAAAATATTTTTTTCTTAAAATATAAAATTAATTACCCTTTGTATTTTGACCCATCTCAAGTATTCTCCTAAATCTCCATATTGTCTATCCAAACCCAAAATCTTACAAGGCATAGAAACTAAAACCAAAAAAATTGACAGCTAGAGAGAGAGAGGAACAGAGCTCAGATATCTTTACCTCATCTCTAAATTCCTAGACCTATTTCAATCAGCACACTGAATTATTCGAAAAATAGTAGTAATTTATATTTCCATCTTACTTCTCTGAAAACTTTAAATACAAACAGGAAAAGAATGAGGGCTTTACAGCATTCATGATTGTGCACAATTATATATTTTGTATTGTACCTGGTTCTCCAGGTTTTCCTGGATATCCTGGAACTCCACTTGTCCCTTGGTCCCCACGCTCTCCTTTTACTCCTAAAATGATAGCAAGATTAACTTTTTTCCAACTATGTTATTTATGATATATCTAAAACATCCCTTTCACAACCACGTCACATTCCAGTGTTTCCTTTAACCAAAATGGCTTAAAGGTAAAGTAATGTGAAAAGGGAATTTATTGAAGGTGATTTGAATGCCAATCCTTCAAATAGACTTCATTTTGCTTATGGCATTTCCAGGACTCCTCAAACTCCTCATCACATCCTGCATTATCTTGCATATGTATGTGATTATGCTTATTTTATTATAAATTTTAAATGACAGTTCAGTTGTCTTCTTTATATGCCCACCATGCCTCAGTAAAGCACAGAACACGGTATTCTGCAATTGGTTAAAACTAGTCATAACAAAAATCCATCCAGGAATGAAAAATTATCCCTGACTTAGAGCATGAAAGAAAAGTCAATTTTCATTACATGTTGGAATAATTTTCAAATATTCTTTGGACAAATTATAAGACTATGAGAAATCATATTTGAAGAACATTGAAAGATTTGGGTTTGCAGTTATTTGCCATGTTACAATAAAATGGATTTTGTATTGTCCTATCTTGTTAAGTCTATCACAGACTCATTTTGATTGTAAAAAACAATAGCAATAATAATAGTATTAAAAATAGTTAACTTGTATTAACAATTTGCACCAAATACTGTTCCAAGCTCTTAACATTTTGTTAACTTACCCTGGACATTTTTAAAATTCATTTAATTTTATTTGATATTAATACTTCCTCTTATATAACAAGAAGGCTCTGTAACAGCATATTTCCTGAATTGGAACACTTATAATTTACAAAGCCTATAACACATCCCCTTCAAAAATGGTAGAGCAAATATTTTTGTTTTCACTTTTACCAGAAGAACATGAGATATGAAAAAAAAAATAAAATTTTTCACAGAGTCAAACATGACTGTATATTACCTTCTTTGGCATCTATTTGCCAACTTTATTATTTATATTATGACTCACAATTTTGCTTAATTTTTGTCAGGAAAAAATTAAACCTGAATCAAATTAAAAGTAATGAAAATAAGTTCCCTTAATTTCACAGTACCCACTAAAGAAATCCCATGAGTTCTAAGTAGCCACCTCCTCTATTACCACTCCACAGAAAATACAAAATTGTAAATTAACTCATAGGCCATCAAGAAAATATCCAGATGCATTTTGAGAGAACCCAACCCAAATGGAAGTGAAGGCCCAAGCCTATTCCAGTCCTTGCTAATAATAGAACATTGACCTTCACTCACAGAGTTATTGAAGTTTTCAAGTTTATTTAAGGGATTTCATTGCTTGTAGTGAATTAATCAAGTAGTCATTAGCCAGAATGTAACCATTCTACTCATTTTATTTTATTTTTTTTAACTTTTAATCTTAGCCAAGAGTCCAAGGTAAGTCTGGAAGTAAAAGGAAAGTAGAGTTTCCACTTTATAGAGAGTTGGCTGAATGAATCTCTACTTTTGATCCTTCATCAAAGCATATTCTTAAGAACCTTACAATACTTCCTTATATTTTCTTCTACTTCCAGAAGTCTAGCTTCCAGAATATATGAATCACTGGGGAGTTTCATCACTCATCTATATTTCACAGGGTTTCTGCTAACATAATTCAGCCACAAAAGGATTAAATGTTTCTGAGAATGAAAATCGCATAACTGACAAGTGTGAAGTAGCTCTTTCTTACCTTAGCATCTTTTTTGAGTAATTACTTCACTGAGTGTTCTAGCAGAAATGAGTTAGGCAGTTCCTGAGCCATGTGGAGGGTGATGTATAGATGATATTAGGTCTTTTGACATGTGACACTAAAGCTCAAACATCGAACTTGATGAATAGATGGTATTTCTACAGGCTGCTCCTATTCACTGAGGAATTTCTCAATGTCCCAGTGAATCTGTAATCTTCCCTCAGTACCTTGGAGCACTTACAGACCCAGGGATTTCCTGGGGCAGGAAAGCCTTCTTTACTGACACACCTATGGAATTATAGGATTTCTGAGCTGGAAAAGATCTATGATAGCACTCATAACTACAAATCTTCTTTGATAGTAAATAGCGGTATAAATAAGTATCAAGTTCATTCCCCTCAATTTCCAGGCAAAGTAAAGCCACTGGTCCAAAGTCACTATTATATGCTTAATACTTCTGTTTTAACTCATGGCTCTGCACCCCATCAATACTGCCTCTGCTTTTAGTGAGTCACTGGAAATGGCAAGTTCTCCTTAGCAGTCAGGCTATCCACCTAAATTGAATATTGTAGAGCATTGCCAGCTCTATTTAGTTCTATTCACTATGAAATTAATTTGCATCAAAAGTAGGAGCCTACCTGGAGTATGTAGGAAAGTACCCTTCCCCAGAGACTATACTTTATGGTTCCCAGTCACTGGGTCAACCGGATGTCCAATCAGAAATAGGAAAGTTGTGTAACTCTGTGTGTGTTTGTGTGTGTGTGTGTGTGTGTGTGTTGTTCCCAGACCAGTTTAGAATTTCTAAATTTAGAAATTTCTAAATTTCTACTTACAAAGATAATAATTCTATATCAAATGAATTCACAATATACTTTACCAAGTACTTAAATACTTAAAAACTGACATAACTTCAAGAATCAAGAAATTACTTAGCAAATTATTCTCCTTAAAAATGATGCAAAATGTCCCTTGAGGTTTTGGCATGAAATGAAATTAAGTACCTACCTTTCTCTCCTTTCTGGCCTTTTGAGCCTTGGGGTCCAATGACTCCTTGTGGTCCTGGGATCCCCATATTACCAGTCTCTCCTTTAAGACCTGGAAACAGGGGTTTAAAACTATCAATATAGAAAAAAAAATCTCTTTTGAAATTCATTAGTTAGGGGACGAGGGGGGCAGTCATTTTTTTTAAACTAATAACTGTCAATGTTCTAATCATAAAATCAGGTGAGAATAAACTATTACAGAGTTCTAAGGGCAATATTTTTGTCTGATTTGCAATTTTGTACACCTGAATAGATAAATTGAGCCCATTAGTACTTGTCACTGTATTCATGGCAGTGATCAAATGATTCAGGGAAGCAGCACTACATCAAACAGCAAGAACAAAATAATTACCTGACACTAAAACTCATATGGACCACACTTTCAAATTGGAAGCAAAAACATAATACCTAGCACTTTTAGGTTTCCCATTCATCCACGTA